CCCATGTGACCAAAAAAGGGGTTTATGAGTATAGTCACTAAGACCATTCCTTATTCAGGTTTTTATCTTGTAATTTTTGGCCACTGCGATGAATATTGGCGCGTCGACAGCAAAGTAAGTGTAACTTAGATATCAAATAACAGGAGAAAGCAGGCAAATTAGCATCAACACTGGTGATTTTTGCATCACGGAGTGCGAAAACACTATTCTATTAACTCACGCTTATTAAAAAAAATCAATGGTTATAGCAATGATCTATTCCATTGGTGGATTATGAACAAAACAATTAAGCATGAGGTCGTACACAACAATCTGACCACGTTTAACCAGTCAGCTCCATAGTAATGTCGGTTGCTTAGTGACCAATGCTGTTTGAATAAGAGGCGGAGCAGAATCGGCAAAAAGGCAAACTTTTTCACAATCCAACGCGAAGTGGCAAAAAAGTAGACAGGAAGTGGTCGGCATTTATCAATCTAGAAGAAAGGTGGTGTGTTTTTGACTTCACACAATCGTAAACGTAAATGAATGCATATCTGGCTTAGCAGTGACTTGTAACTGGATTCAGTGAAAGAAGTCAGTGGTGGTACACTAGCAAGAAAGTGTGGTACTAATTGCCGATCCCATACGAATGAGGGGTTGGTTAATGTCAACTATGGACATCAAAAAACACGCGCACTTTGCAGGGCATCTCTAACTAGTGCGCTACGCGGACTCTTGAAAAGCGATTACTGACTAAATCAATTTTAGACTGATAAAACAATTAGAATTTCTCCAATCTCTCGGTACTCATCAGAAAACATCGTGAGCAAAGATCTTCACGAACAATGACCATCATTATTTTCCAGAGTAGCAATAGTTCGAGTGACTTCAATATTTTTTTTCTGTGATGTATTGGCTTGGAATTTGTTCAGTGTTACACTCCTTTTTGTTCTAATCAATAATCACTTACGAATAAGAGTAATTTGCAGTCATTAGTTGTGCTGTACACATTTTGCAAGAAACAGTGCGATTCTGGGGTATTATTTCGTGATATTTTGAATGAAACATTATGGAAAGTATGTTACAGTTTATCAGAAAGCAACGCGCTAAACGATGGGATGGTTCAGTACCCTCCCTACCACTTTCTTGCCATCAGTCAAGTTAACGCCCAGGACGCCTTAGTTCAGCTACCTCCAGATCTGCAAAAAGGTTCGTCTCGACCAACATTCATCGTCGTTCTTAATAAAGACGGAAACCTCAAGCAGCAGTCAAGTCAAGAGGTGAAATGATCGAAGACTTTCGTAAAAAATGAATGGAAAAGAATGGAAATGCTGGGATCTATACAGTAGCTTGATATCGAGGGTTGTGTAGAAAAACTTTTTTGTTTACTTTAAAATTCCATAGGTAAGAGCGGTTTGAGATGTAAAATAGGTGCGTGCGTACATTCCCTTCTCGGAATTTCGTTAAACCTACTTTTCTCTTACTTTTGAATTCTTCGTTTTTATTTATATGATTAAGTACTTTTTACTTTAGGAATTATGAAACGCTGAAAAGCGCGAGTATTTATCCGCATTTTTCGCAAAAATTAAACTGATCTTATATATGAAATTTTGAGGTAAATAAATTGTTTGAAGAATACCAGGGACGACTCAAAATTCGCAAGTGAATGGGAAAAAATGAGCTAGAAAACAAAAGCAGAAGATCAGATACTTCTTTTCATGAAATTAAATGAAATTATAATTTAGCTGATATCACGAGGTTGATAGATGAACTTTGATCGTCTAACGTTTCGTCGTCTCCGTCTTCATCGGAGCCGATGACACGAGTAAATTATCTCCAGTCGTTTTTCCACGATGTAGATCTTCGCCTTCGTTGTCATTCGAGTCGAATTTTCTTTGGTGGAGCACTGCTCCAATGAAGAACCTCATTCGGTGATGTGTTAATTTACAGGATGACTGCCTCTAGCTACCCATTAATACGATTTATTTCCTTCTTATAAGTTTTGAGTTTAGCGATATCATAAAAGAAACTATGGTTAATTGGAAATGCTGAAGTTAAAGAAAAGTTGGGTTCTAAAAATAATATCGTGCTTTGTGCTAGCTGAAACATTCACCTTGATGGCCAAAGTCTCTGAGTGGGAAGATTTTGGAAGACGTAGCTAAATTTCATTTGTCTACAAAGCGCTAATAAAAATACACATTGGTGCTTGCCTACATAGCAAGGCTATTGCTTGCGATACTTATCCGGGAAAAAAAACATCTTGAATGAAAGACTGATAACATTGTGTCAGCAACTAGAGATAACATCAAATAATCTCGTTAACTAATAGTTCCATTAATTCTTGAAAGAAATATCCTAACCCAACTTCCTATTGGCTATTGCATTCATTTGAGCCGCAGTTTTCTTGATAAGCACACACAACGTCCTTATTAAACTGTTCATTAATATCAACTGACGTTCGTGCGAATTTTGCCCTCCTCAGAACCTGGAGAGATGAACTTAACAGCAATTTAGTCAGCAAACCATAACCTGAACAGGAAAGCTGCAAAACCTAGTTTACCATTGTTTCGGAAACATAAATTCGTAACAATGAAATGTAAGCACCACAATGACAAAAAACTAACGAAAAAATTTTCCTTGAAAAATTAATTTTCGATTTTCGTTATGTCTTGAGTATACGAATGGAGATGTTTAGAGATGTTTAGTGTAGTGAAGGAGAGAGAGCTGCAGCTGGCCTTTTCAACTGCAAAAGCATCAAAAATGCTTCCACTAACCCGGAAGAGGGCTAAAAGGATGACAGACGAGAGCGTGCATGAGAAACAAAACACCTCAAGTACGAGCCGGGCGAGGAAATCGATGGCGAGGTTTGAGAACGGCGCAACTGTGTGCCACACGAACGTGGTCGGCATCGTCATTGCAGATTTAGGAAGAGGAAAATGAGAAATTTATAGATTCCGCTGTACGAATAAAGTAAGAAAAACATCAACAAAGCCTTAGAGATAGTGCTTATTTTGTTAGCCGGAAATACCTTGCTGATACCTTTGTAATCTTTTCCAAAACCGACTGCCTATCAATCTTGATTCCAGGCATTCCTTAGTTTCTTCTCGGAGTAATGCAGAAGGTTTTTGTTAAACGATGTATTTGCAGTCCATGTAATCCTTGTGCTGCAGGTCTCCAATTAAATAACTCACTGGACGACTGATGAAAAGGGTGAGCATGTGGAAAGTTATTCTGTGCTCTTGATGCAGTTGAAATCTAGGTTTGGTGATTCTATTCTGTTTGAGTAATCAGCAAAGCTTTGCCATATTTTTGCACTAGGTCGAGGATAACTTCCTTAACACCCGCGAAAAAATCAAGTTTTATGTTTGTCACAAAGTATCGGTTACTGTAAATTCATAGGAAACTCTCAGAAAAAGTATGTGACAATTTCATGTTAAGTTAGTAGAAATAAGAAAATTTTAAGACTTTAAAGTGCTGGATGAATTGAGCCAATTGAGATTCATTTATGTTACTTTGTATTCGACTGTTTTTTTGGAACTCGCTTGAAATTATTGCATCCTGACAGCATATGTCAAGCGTTTCATGCGGTCTGTTACCAGCACTTACACAGTGCAATGCACCTGTTTCGGCTTTGCAGCCTCGTCAGTTTCACAGTGCCTGTAAAACAGGGAACTGAACCCGCGCTCCATCCTTACCGGAGGTGCATCTCAACTGCACACACTGCCGGGGCTCTTGTTCTGCCATCAATCCTTGTGCGATACATGGTTTCGACCTATCGGCAAGAAACGGTTAACGGTTTAGCTTGTTAAGCACATATAAACATTGAACCTCAATTACGCCCACAGTCACTGGATATGTCCACATGTAATCGGTCAGAACTGTGGGTCCAATGTGTGCATGCCAATTCAAACCAATGATGGCTGGTTGCAGCCTGATCGATATCTTGTATCGCAGAAAGAGTGATAGTAAAGCACGAGTTATGGTAGCGCAATAGGTCAGCACGCACGCGAAAGTTCAGATGCGGATCCACATTCCACCTATGATTACAGCTTTGCATATTACTCAATATTATTAGTTATATGGGGGAGGGGGCCGGGGCCAAGTGGTTGTGATGCTCGTCGCGGCTCAGTGCGATTCACACCTCAACACTCTCCGGCAGTCAACAACGAACGCCCTATGGAGGGCCACAACTTAACTATCCTCAAGATTACAAGGACACATGGTCAACCATAATCCTACGACGTGCAAGAAGAAGACGGATAACGATTGAATGCTAGAAGTAGTAGGATCCGCACAGTGAAAACCTGTGAGACAGCCCATTAAAGTAAAAGGAAGTGATATTAGTCATATAGTTTTAATATCATACTAGTGCTGAAAAAGACAGTTATATTGTCTAAGCTTCCTAGATTAATTAGATTTGATTGAAACGTTGGCTAAATATATAACTTAGTTTCAAATGAACTTTCATACAAATTACCTCATTGTATTCCCATAACCGTTTCCTTGATCCGTTATCTTCTCCTTCACATGAAGTTTAAGTACAAGCTGTTTCTACAATCTTTCCCTTTATGTGATATCATCTCCTCCCATGAAAGATATCCTATTACATTCACATCAAAACGTGCACTTGTAGGTTTTTGTGCTCTGAACTTTCTTTCTCATCGGTTGTACGCCTATAACCTTTTGCATTAAGCCTTCGTCTTCGTTCCCTATATAAGCTTAAAGCCCGTCCTCACTGAGTAGTCTGTGAGTTCCATAGCTCCACTGTTCCCGTGTTACGATTGTTCACCCACTTCGCTCCTATCTGTTCACTCAACTACGTATCGTCGGACTCTCATAGTATTGTCATTAATGCTGTAAACAGTTATATCACAAACATGATTTGTTTCCGTGCTTACGTGAAAAGACCCGCGTGACAAATTAGTGCAAGTCGAGCATTCTTCTCCGACTTAGTAATTATTGTGTGCTAAAGACTAGCTCGAAACTCAGCACTCTCCGTTGAAGAGCCAACACAATTTGGTGCACTGGTGGCTCAGTGGTAGAATGCTCGCCTGTCACGCGGGCGACCCGGCTTCGATTCCCAGCCAATGCGCCAAATTGTATTGGCTGTTCAACGGAGAGAGCTGAGGTTAATCTTTAGCACACAATAATTACTAAGTCGGAGCAGAATGCTCGACTTGCACCATTTTGCCACTCGGATCTTTTCACGTAAGCACGGAAACAACTCACGTTTGTGATATAACTGTTTTAGCATCATTGACAATACTATGGGAGTCTGGCGATATGTAGTTAAGTGAATAGATAGGAGAGAAGTGGGTGAATAACTGGAACACGGAAACACTGGAGCTATGGAACTCACAGATTACTCAGTGAGGACAGGGTTTACTCCTATATAGGGAAGGAAGACGAAGGCTTAATGCAAAAGGTTACAAGAGTACAACCGATGGGGAAGAAAGTTCAGAGCACAAAAACCTACAAGTGCACGCTTTGATGCTTTACAGCTACAAGTGCACGATGTGAAAGGAAGTAAATGTCTTGCATGGGAAGGCGATGCTATCACATTAAGGAGAAGGTTGAGGGAACAGCTTGTACTTAAACTTCATGTGAAAGAGAATATAATGAATTAAGGAAAAGGTTATGGGAAGCAATGGAGTAATTTGTATAAAAAGTCATTTGAAACTATATTACATTTTGAGTCCAAGGTTTCGGTATTTCTACAAACCTAGGAATGTTGGACAATACAGAAAAAGGAACTATCTGTGAAATAGTCTCTATATAATTGAAGATTCTAACCGACTGCATAATTAATTGATCACAATCAGCCACATTCTTTATTTGAAGGCAACACGCTACTCCTGAGACCTGTTTCTTGGATCGCCTTCTCCCTGCCGCTGTAGTTGTTGTAACATCAATCGTTTTCGGAGGAAGCAATCACTCAAAAACATTTTCAAATAATTAGATCAAAAATACTAATAGTTGTGCAACTCGAAGGTTTGTTAATTTTCATGCGCCTCGCTTGGTATAGAGTGCATAAAATTTATCATATTGGCCGAAATTGAAAAAAACAATGGATGGTTCGCCAAAAGTAATGCTGATCATTGCATGTGATCCCACTTCATCGATTATTCCTGATATTTTTCTCGATTGTTAGTGCAGTTCAGATTCCGGCTTCTCAGATCATTGCGTAATTTCGTTCGAATTCTTTATTCGTAGCTATGATATGCGAAGATGAGATGAAGGTGCAGCGCTTCCTTTTCGTTACCTCCACCCTCTTTGAGCCCGTTGGTGATAATGCATTTTTTGTTTTTGTAAAGTGTTTTAGTAGTCATTCAATAGCTAGAATTGAGTGTTTGAACGACTTATGTTATTCTTTGAGTGAACTGTTTTCTTCGCTGTAGCAGTTGAAAGAATATTTTGTTTCACATTCAAGCATTTCTTGCCGGATAATGGATTTTTCATAAGCAGTAAGTAATCACTAGATAGGGCGAATCTTAGCTAATTCAGCGATGTAGATGTTTTTAGAAAGTACTCTTTGGGTTGCTGTAATAGTCAAAGGAAGATTAAACTTCTCAAATCTGGATCATTTTCGACGGACCTATCCTGTTTTGACCTCTTGGGAAGATCGCGTTTTTTTGATTTTTCAGAGTTTTAATAGCCATTCGATAGATCAAATTTAGAAAATTTTGATGAAATGCTTTATTTTTTATAAGGTTTCTTTAACACGCTCTAACACTAAAAACAAACTTATCTTTCACACTTAAGTATTTCTTGCCTAACAAAGTTTTTCCGCAAGACTTTTAATATTTATCAACAGCTCAAATCTTCACCATTTCCATAAAAATTTTGTTTTGTATTTGGCTCCTTATCGTACTGTAACACTCAGAAGAAGATTACCTCTCAGTTAGTTGATATGTTGTTAAAGACACGGTGATTTGGGGCCAATATCGCGAAATCTCCCTTTGTAGTGCGAAAACCCGATTTTCTTCTGACTGTCACACCTCTCCGAGGAGTCCTCTCCAAAAAGAAGTTACGTCCTTGAAAAAAAAGTTTATCCGGCAAAAAAGCCTTGAGTGTGAAACAAATGTTACTTCGACTATTACGTTGCAAAAAGCAAGCCATTCGAGAAACAAAATACACCGTTCAAATTCACTTGATCTCAGCTATCGAATAAATACTAATAATCAAAAGAGGTCTTTTGTAGAAAAAACCAAAGGTTCACGAGCACAATCCTTGAAATCGGTTGCATATGACAGAAGTTATTTCCAAAGTAGGGATTTTCGAGACAATTGAGCATTGTTCTTTCTATAAATACGTTTACAAAAGCTTTTTCAAGGATGACTAAAGTTATTTTTAGCATAAGAGTTTTTAGAAATCAACATTTAACTATACAATCCCCAAAAATCCGCTTTTAATAGAAAATTGGATTGCGATTGTAAAACGTCATCTTTTATATTTCATTAGAACGTACTGTGGGATTATTTCAAGACAATAAGCTTAGTATGCAATAAAAACTTTTCAAGCTAACTTCTCACTACAAAAGCATGAAGAAGATAACAGAAATTGTTCAGTAACAGTTGGAAATATACTTCTTTTAGCAACGATGTTGTTTTTCCCTTTGGAAAGGCATGATTTTGGGAAAACATCAGCGTTAATCTTGTTGAAATCATTTGTACAGGACCCTCATCAGTAATATTTTATCGTTTTTGATGACAATGTTCACTGAGAGCATTAACCTGAATTTCTATTGGAGCACACACCACTCTTCGTAGTCCGTTGGAACGGCGCGCCCAGCTGAGGGTCATATTCGTTCTGTTCCGTCCATTTTTTTGGATGTCCTGAACTGCACTACCGCACTCATCCAAGTAACACTTCGCTCTACCTTTTTTTGTGGTATTAAAAATCTCAGTGACATTTTGATGCACCACTACGTGGAATTCGCTTATGATTTTTAATTTCAGAGAACTTATACAGTCCAGGCAATATAAAACAACGTCAAACAAACCAGTGAAAATCAATGGAAATATCGCTCTCAAATTGGTCCGAAGATTTAGTGGAATCTCGAGTGAGTGGAAAAAGAAGCTTACTGGAAGTAGAATGTAATCAGTCTTCTTGACGGATTTTTATGATGGAAACCATGACAACACCTTCTTGATATTGTACATCTCGATGTAGATAATACAGACATGCTTTCGATAATTAGAAAAGAAAGTCAAAGTGTTTCTTCTCTTTTCTGGCACTGTGAGTAGACAAATACAAGCGTACACATACACAATACCAGTAAAACACGGAAGTGTTGAGTTTTCGAGAGCAGACTATTGCAATCGGAACGACTACCAATATATCGCAGGAAGAAATGGGGAAAAAAGATGCAAAAACTTCTCAAGACCCCCATAGGCGTTTCAGCTGACCCTCAGTTCCATGTCCTGTGACTGTCGTGTTCTGCAAGTAAATATTAGGGTTGAGATTGTAATTATTAGGCTATGCTGAAATTTTAGGTGAAAATTTGGAAAATTTGCAGAAGTGCATTTCAAAGAAGGGTTTTTGATGTCTAGTAGATGAAAAGAATATTTGGAAGACCTCTACTCTGCCTGAATGTATATCTAAGTGGAATGATTGTATAGTCCTTTCCAAATCTCTTTATTTCCGCCTTATTTCTTTCTGTGTAACATGATTTAATTCTCTCGTTCAAGCAATTTCCTATACACGTCACTCAGTAGGCATCCCCTTTCTCTGAAAAATAATGTTTCAACCTTCCAATCAACTATCTTGAGATATCGCTTGAAGATTCAACATAGTCTTATAAAGTATTTTGAGCGTTTCAGAAGCCTGGTGTGGCATCTCTTGTGTTAAGCATACGTTTGGCTTTCTCGCAACCCTCATAACTAGCACATGCCTTTCGGTTTACCTTTCTGGGCCGCTAACATTAGTTGTAAAGGTAAACCGAAAGGCATTTGCTACTGATGAAGCTTGCAAGAAAACCGGAACATACATCTGGCACATAGCGGTTCGTTCATTTTCATATTTTCTGAACTGTTGTGGATCACGTAGCAATTAGCCACTTTCAATCACTACGAATTATCAATTAAGTAGTATGGAAAAGCAAATCTACAGAAAGATTTTGCTTGTATCATGTGAACTTTGATAGTGAGTTCAACTTTTTATTTTATAAATCAATACAATTACCTCAACTTTTGATTGACAACAGATGGGTGCAGGTATTATAGTGGTACTAATGCGTAGATGCAGCTCGATCAAGGTTCAAATTTACATTAGATTAACCAGACTTCCATTGTTCCTACGTCGGAGAGTTATCATTCTTGTTTATGAAGAACTCCTTCGATGAACAAGGCATTACGGCTGTCTGTAGTGAGAATTCAAAAATGCCCTCTCATGTCAACTATGATTTCATAGTGAATCGACTTGACCAGGATATTTCAAAATTCATGACGAAGACCTTAAACAGCAGCCGAATGCATGCGAAAATACGAATCCCTCGCAATTGATAGATTCGAGATAAACGAGTCAAAAAAGGGGGCGCTGAAATCTATCTGTGGTGCTTAAGCGGAAAAAAATTTTACCAAATATTCATGTGCTACAGTGTCCGAAAATGGGCTCACTTGAGAACAAATACATAGCTGAAGCGATTGATCTCTACAAAACTAATATGTTGGTCGAAAGTCAAAATTGGGAGTTCTGTGCCGTAGTGATAGAATGATTGATAAAAAAAACTGTACTTATATGTTAAACGGCGACAAATGAAAAACTGATCTAATTCGCTGATTAGAAACTTTTCATAAAAATGTTAGTGATCCTTCGAGCTCAAATCTCGAGCTACATTTGCGCGCAGCCGGTTTTTTAAAAAACTTTTTATAACGCTGTAAAATCCTGAATAAAACCAATTTGACACGACCATATATGAGGCTCAATCATATTTTCCCTGCTAAATGGCAGTGAAAAACACTTCTTCCAGAAAATAAGCAGTGTTGGCATCAGTAAAACTTATACTGTCAAATGATTTATAATAGTTTGAAGAAAGAGCTCTGTCCAACGAGCTGTGAAACACAAATCTTTTCTCTCCCCTACACCGCTATC